TTTGAAATGTTAAAGTCAAGTCTGTTTCGTCACATCGATGAATAATGTAGCATTGATCATACTAGCACTATCGACCAGAGCAATGCAAGACATGATTATACCCCACCCCCACTAAAACAAAATTTTTGAACCGTTCCGTTGCACTTAGATCCTTCCACCAAATTTGTATTAAAAACAACCCCTCTCCACCACCCACGAAGCTTAGTTTTTGTATTCAAAATAATCATGTCTTTAAAATTATTTTAAAACAAAATAATTAAACTTCTTTACCATTTTACACATTTTTTGCACCACATACACATACAAGTGTACTTACAATTGTCTGCAGTTAGCCAATATGTTCTGCACTGAAATATTATCAAGATTAGGAAATTCACCTTGAACTTCCATGAAAAGAACCTTTATAGTTCTATGGTAGCAGGCCACACGATGAAGTAAACACTTCAGCTAAGGAAAACAAAAGAAATACATTTAGTTTGTTTTAACGTAATATATTTATATATAATAAATACTATTCTTATATTTCAAGCATTAAAATCAGCGTGCATAACTAGGAAAAGAAATCATTGCGCTGTTTCTCGAATTTCAAAACATGTGCACAATGTGTTGTCATCCAAATGTTTTTTTCACATGATTAAGATGAAATGCTGGGTATTTAATTGTTTGAAAGTATTTGATCATTTTGAAAATACCTCAGACTACATCTCCAGACTGAGCCTTGTCACTTTAGAAATAATTTTAATGAGGCTGAGTGAAATCGCAAAACAGATAATTTTTAGAATAATTTTGAAAATAACGGAATTAATTTTTTTTAATATTCTCAACTGTCCAAGACACCAATACACCGGCCGAATACAATTGAAATATTCAATGCTCAGATCCAATTGTAAGATAAAATGGCCAGATACAATGGTCAGATACAATGGCCACAAATGGCCTGAAATGGCCAAATAAATGGCCAGATAAATGGCAAGATTGAATGGCTAGACACAATGAACACATAAAATGGCCAGATACAATGGTTAGATGCAATGGTCAGATACAATGGCCAGATAATAAGCAAGATAAAATGGTCAGATAAATTGACCAGATAAAATGGCCATATAAGAAGGCAAGATACAATGGCCAGATAAAATGGTCATATAAAATTGCCAGTTAAAATGGCCAGATAAGGTGGCCAGATAAAGTGACCACAAAAAATGGCCAGATAAAATGGTGAGATAATTAATGATAATATTTGTTTAAAAACACTAAGTTAAATCTGAGATGAAAATTACTCTTGCATGAACATTATTGAATCCAAAAAAAAAAAAAAAGATCCAGATCAGCGATACAAATATGCATTCTAAACTACGTAATTATTTTGATCCTGACAGGAGGAAACTATTTAAAAACTGCTCAAAGCTCCACAAATGACTTAAAAAAAGATAAAAAATTATTTACCTTAATAATAACAGCCTCGTCGGTGTTAGTTGTATTAGCTCGTAGTTAAATGTTACATGTCATTTGTATGTTAGTTACAATACCACTAGATTCCTAGTCAATTATCACGCGGGTAGCCAAAATAGTAAAATTTACATGTTCACCTTTTAATAAATTATAACAACAAAAAAACAAAATACTTTGTNAAAAAATGGCCAGATAAAATGGTGAGATAATTAAAGATAATATTTGTTTAAAAACACTAAGTTAAATCTGAGATGAAAATTACTCTTGCATGAACATTATTGAATCCAAAAAAAAAAAAAAAAGATCCAGATCAGCGATACAAATATGCATTCTAAACTACGTAATTATTTTGATCCTGACAGGAGGAAACTATTTAAAAACTGCTCAAAGCTCCACAAATGACTTAAAAAAAGATAAAAAATTATTTACCTTAATAATAACAGCCTCGTCGGTGTTAGTTGTATTAGCTCGTAGTTAAATGTTACATGTCATTTGTATGTTAGTTACAATACCACTAGATTCCTAGTCAATTATCACGCGGGTAGCCAAAATAGTAAAATTTACATGTTCACCTTTTAATAAATTATAACAACAAAAAAACAAAATACTTTGTGATTAATGGGAAGTAATTTCTAAAATAATTTTTCAATTGTCACCTTGAAGATTTATTTGAATAGATGCCTTTTAGACCAAACAACTAACATTTAATGACTTAATCTTACATCAATTTCCAGTGTTCCGTCATCCCATGCCTCCCACGTTAATTTGTACACGGGCATAGACGTCGCCAAAATTGGCAACATCTTCCTTGTGCTTTCAATCAATTGGGCATGGATTTCAACCAACAAATTGGGATGCGTGTTGGCTAACGCCTGCCAAGCCTTACAACTTATAACGCTGCCTGATGGAGTAATAGGAAGGCGTTAGTGTTGTGTAAATTAATTAAAAATTCCTTGTTTTTTTTTTTGTGCATGTGATAGTTTGTGAAAACATGACACAAAATCTTTTTTTTTTTATTTCTTCATTTGTATAAACAGATGGCGTTGTTATAGGAACCACAAACAATATGGCGTTGTTATAGCAACCATAAAGAACATGGCGTTGTTATAGCAATCATATTTAACCATCAACCACAGGGCGTTGTTAGAATAATCATACACCAGATTTGCGTTGTCATATTAATCGTAAACAACATGATAGTGTTATAACAACCATCAAAAACAGGGCGTTGATATTGCATCCTTTAACAACAGGGCGCTGTTAGAGCAATCTTAAAACACTGTTGTTTATGTATTTTTGCAAATGAAATAGAAAGATTGTTAATGTCATATGAGCTTGACAGCGCGACCCCTACACCTTCCTCACCGTTCTCGGAGGACGTTAGTCAGACAGAATCATTTGATAGTTTTCTGCCTGTGACTGAGGATGAGGTGAGGCGAGTCATCATCAGGTCTGCTCCCAAGTCTTGTGCCCTCGATCCTATCCCCGTCCCACTGCTTGTAGAATGCCTTGACGTCCTCCTCCCAGCACTCACCTCCATCATAAATTCTTCGATTCTCTCTGGCATATTCCCTCCCATTTTTAAACGGTCGATTGTCCTGCCCCTCCTAAAGAAACCCTCACTTGATCCAAACACACTCAAGAATTACCGCCCCGTCAGCAACCTCTCCTTTCTCTCAAAAATCATAGAAAAACTCATACTCTCTCAGCTCTCTGGCTATCTTCATTCTCGCAATCTCTATCCTTCCTCTCAGTCCGCCTACCGACTTGGACATAGCACAGAAACAGCACTGGTCCGAGTCATGAGTGACCTCCTGCGCGCGATGGACGATGGCAAACTCTCTATTCTCACTCTGTTAGATCTCTCTGCTGCATTTGATACCATTGACCACCAGATTCTTCTTGACCGCCTTCATCTTTCTTTCGGACTTACTGGCTCAGCTTTAAACTGGTTTCAATCATATCTTTCTGACAGAACTCAAAAAGTCTCTATTTCCAACCGCTCTTCCAAACCTTCAGCCCTGTCTATTGGAGTTCCTCAAGGATCGGTCCTTGGGCCGGTCCTTTTCATCCTCTACACTAAACCTCTATCATCTCTCATTAGCCACCACTCAGTTTCCAGTCAATCCTTTGCTGATGACACTCAAATCAGTGACTCTTGCTTTCCTGATCAACTTGATGCCACAATCCTTCGCATACAGGAGTGCGTGGACGATGTAAAGCGTTGGATGACTTGCAACAAACTGAAGCTAAATGATGATAAAACGGAAATCCTTCTCATCCACTCTCAAAACAAACCTCTCCCTCCATTCGCTCCTTCTTCTATATCTATTGGCAACTCTGACATCACACTCTCTCCCTCTGCCAGAAACCTTGGAGTCACGCTTACGGACACCCTCTCCATGGACAAACATGTCACGAATATATGCAGATCAGCATATAACGAAATTAGAAAAATCAGCACCATTAGACACCTCCTCTCCTTTGATGCCACAAAAACTCTCGTCTCTTCACTCATTCTTTCAAAATTTGACTACTGTAACATTCTTCTCTCAGGCATTCCTCAACACCACATAGAAAAACTTCAGAAGGCACAGAACTCAGCATGCAGACTCATTTTTAAATTAAAGAAACATGACCACATTCAACCACACATGCGGCAACTCCACTGGCTTCCAATATCCTCTCGCATCAAATACAAGTCTGCCAATCTTTGCTTCAACTCGTTCACTGACCCTCACTTTCCTGTCTATCTCTCTGAACTGTTGCTTCCTTACATCCCCACAAGACAACTACGTTCTTCCATTGACAGTAGAACCCTCTCAATCCCAAGAACTAAAACTAAGACCATCGGTGAACGCTCCTTCTGCTTCCATGGGCCCACGTTCTGGAACCAGCTCCCCTTCCATATACGTCATAGTGAAACCTCGTCCATTTTCAAAAAGTCCCTTAAAACTCATCTGTTTAGGTCCGCCTATGACCTGTGATGCACCCTCCTTGCCCTACCTCATTTTCTGTTTCGGGTTGATCCTGAAGTGTCAAAGTGTCCTCGTTTTATAGCCATTTTCATTGTTTCTATAGAATAGTAGTTACTATCCTAGTGTCTCATTTGTATTTACTTAGTTTACATGTTTTAACAATTGTAAAGTGCTTAAAGCTTTATGATAAGCGCTATATAAAATGCCTAAATAATTAAATAAATAAATAAATATGGAGTTCGAACATCCTTGAGAAATACACTAACATGGAAACCGCTGACTAATTCTTCTTCTATATCTTCTACATCTTAAGGGCCCACGATCAATTTATTGATCATTTTGGCTCCTATGCATGTAGATGGGATTTGCAAATTTTCTGTTACTGGTGGGGATGAGGAAATTATGCACTAGGGGTTTGAAGGCTTGACATAAGAAAGCAACACCAGGGTCAGTATTTCACTGACATTTTTAACACTCAAATAAACTGTGGCTTGTCCAGGTTGATGAAAACATTTTAAACGCCAGTTCTCTTTAACACATACACGGATCAAACAAAATAAATATTAATATATTTTATATACACATACTTGGTAATGCAATTCTGGTAACCCAAAACTTAATGAACGAAAGATTCGGGCAGCCCTGGGCCCAGTGCATGATCAGCTCTTCGGAAACAATGAAGTATTCCACGTGAATACGACACAAACTTTTGAATTTCTGAAAATGATTCTAAAAAAAAACAAAAAAACAAGGAAGTTTGAAAATCTAAAGAATTGAGCATTTTGAGAAAATTTACAAAAAATGAGATTGGAACTTGGCCACCTGTCCCTGCTAAAATAGGAGAAAGCTTTTGCTGGTCATCAAACTCGAATTTTAATTTGAGACGCAATGCGCTGTACTAAAACTTTATAAGGCTACATTTATAATTGTGAGATCATGGATTCTTGAACAAACGAAATAAAAAGATACAATTAGGGCGCCGATACCATTCCCCGTCTTCATGGGAGATGTAAATAATGGACAAACAATGAAAGCAAAAGTCAATGTAAATATAAAGTAACCTGACAATAACCTCTAACGCTGTGACAATGTGTTGTTGCTGGTAAATAGACACTTCTATTTCAAAACATCTCTTTAGGTATAGGGTTTCAATAGTATCTCCACATGAATCAGCAATACATTTGAGAAATTGTAGACCACTCTCTATGTCGAAATTGGGGAAATCCATGGAAAATTTCTAAAAAAAAAATTAATATTGAATTAAAATTGTGCATAGGACTCGTGGAAATGAATAGGAAATAAATTATTGAAATATTAAAAACCAGTTCAACCGTCCTGAAAATTAATCCTTAACACAATAAAATATAAACATAATACTCTTTCAAAAAATTAACCAGTGTACGTGAAGCATAGTGCTCGTAAATAATATATATACAACAACAAACAACCAACAGTAACGTGACGGTCAGCCTCTTTTGGGTTTTTCATAAAGATTGACCACATAAATTACACCTCCACCATTGTCGACAATTGTCCGCATCAGACGGACGAGCCAATCCTGCACCCACACTGTTTTTGTGGATGTCCACATAAGCCAAACTAGCCAATCCTACGCCCACACAGTTTTCTTGGGATGTCCACATAAGACTGACTAGCCAGTCCTGCACCTACACAGTTTTCGTGGATGTCCTAATCAGACTGACTAGTCAATCCTGCACCCACACAGTTTTCGTGGATGTCCTCATCAGACTGACTAGTCAATCCTGCACCCACACTGCTTTTGTGGATGTCCTCATCAGACTGACTAGTCAATCCTGCACCTACACTGTTTTTGTGGATGCCCGCATCAGACTGACTAGCCAATCCTGCACCCACACTGTTTTTGTGAATGTCCGCATAAGAAATAACATATTGAGTTCCGCCTGTGATTTTATATGAGGGGAAGGGTTAATGATTAAAGAGATTTACAATAACATTGACCATTGCAAGTGTTGTGGGAGAGCGGACGGCAGAGACTTCTTACAGTTTTGCATAAATTCTGGAATAACCATCCTGTAACTCTTAGACTCTAGCACACCCTACTTTTGTCTAAAAATATATTGTATGAACGCCATGATAATCCACAATTGGTTCAAGTGTTAAATGAAAAATCACTGCAATGTTTTCCATTCATCATCTTAAAAATGTTGCTTTGTATTTACGCTTGATAGATTTCGCAAAAGTGATTAGTTAGGGCATTGACAAATTTACGTGCACCGTAAGTCATATTCTGGACGTGACATATGTATTTCGTTTGACTGAACAAAACACCGGCGATTGAGAAACATAGGGCCAGGGGCGTTGCTAAGGGAAGCAGTGCGAACCACACCTTTGACACCATCCCTAGCCAAACCACTGCAATGGGTGTATTACACCAAACACATTTTTAACAGGGTACTGCTTACCCATCGTTTTTTCACGCTCCATTTTGTCAACGAATAAATGTTAACGCCCCCACTCCCCCCCCCCCCCCCTTTTTTCCCCCAAATTGAGAGGAGACAGAAATAGAGCTCCACGTTGTGCTAAGAAAATGAATTTCACTTGTGCTGCCATTGAAGGCTTTCGGATTTACAATAGAGGGATTAAACTTAAAATTCATTTTATTTATTGTATTGCATCATGTTTTAAAAATAAAAAAAAAACGAAGTTGGTTAATTTTAATGTATTTACTATGTTCCGGAGCAGAGACGCACCTATGTATAAAAGAAGAAGGGAAAAAAAGTGGTTGTGGGAGGTACCGCTCATAGCGAACCAATTTCTCACATCTTTGGATACGCCACAGGCCTAGAGACTGAAGTTTCTCCTATAATCTACAGCTTTCCCTCCTAGTGAGGCATACTTCACAAGATAGGAAACACTTGTTAATTGTGACTCGTTTTTTTTTTTTTAAATTGTTTTTCCCGTCCTAACACATTTTAAAACGGGGTAGCAAAAGAGAAATGTATGCTTGCAGACGTCTGCAAACTCGTTCACACCTGTCTGCTTTTGAAAGAACCTGCCACCCCCTCTCTGTTTCCAGAGAGGTGTACCAAAATCTTTTCCAATGCCCCCCCCCCTTTTTTTTCCATACCTCATGTATTCCGTTATCATCAGCAACTTTGATTAAACGATTTTATATAATTTGTTACCTTTAAGAACTTTTATTAAACCGGGGTAGCAAAAGAGAAATGTATGCTTGCAGACGTCTGCAAACTCGTTCACACCTGTTTGCTTTTGAAAGAACCTGCCACCCCCTCTCTGTTTCCAGAGAGGTTTACCAAAATCTTTTCCAATGCCCCCCCCCCCCTTTTTTTTCCATACCTCATGTATTCCGTTATCATCAGCAACTTTGATTAAACGATTTTATATAATTTGTTACCTTTAAGAACTTTTGACCACTGGTAACTTCAATAAAGCTGTTCAAAAAACGTTTTCGCATTGCGTCATTCAGACTCTTTAAGTTGAGGTTGTACAGAGTTAGCGATCTTAAACGGGATTCCTCCAGACTGGAATAAAATTCTAAAAATTCACTGAGGATTCCATTGGCAGAACGGGTATCCATTTCCTTCAAAAGAATTTCCAAATCTTCCAAACAAGTTGAAAACTGATCTGCGAAGCCTTTTGCCTTTGTTCCTGATAAGAAATAAACTGAAAATATCTATTCCACAAACTTGAGACTCATACGAAGTGGCGTAATACCCAAAAGATAGAGTCGTTAAGTAATGGGGCGTAGGGGGTACCGAAGAGACATAAAGTGGGACAAGAAACGCGATAGGCTGTTTCCAGTGAACGCAAATATAAAATGGTTGCCGAAATATTATCCAGTTTCCCTTTATGTACGTGTTACTGATGTATTTATAGTTTATAAAATAGGATTGTTAATAGTATACGTAAGGGATCAATCCAAGTACGGTGGTGTTTGAAGGAAGAATAACTTATTAAAAATAAAAATATAAAATAACTGTGCAAGTTATGGCCACCAACACCAAAAAAGACAATGCTCACAGCTTTCACTTTGTCAGAGACTCCCTTCAACCGCCAGGTACTGGCTCAGTAGGTTTCGACCATTCTTACATTTTAACGTTATGGTATTTGTTACAGCAGTAAATTGTGACATAATAACTCAGAGGTTCTCAAACTGTGGGTCGCGACATCATTTGGGGTCAACAATCATTTCACAGGGGTCAACTAAGACAATTGGAAAACACATATATCCTACAGTTTCAATGTAGCAACGAAATTAATTTTGTGGTTGGGGGTCATCACAATATGTGTAACAGTTTTAAAGGGTCGCGGCATTGGTAAGGTTGAGAACCACTGGTTTAACTTGGATTGATAGTGTCCTAGTTGACCCACTGTGTATTAAATGTCTTACTGTACCAGATGTGAACGTAAGTTCCTGTTTGGCACCCACAAAGATGTTATATTCTAATTCTTCATACGAAGTGCATCCACCAAACTCAAAAAGCCTTGATCGCCACAGTGCAGGGTCACGGTAGCCTTGGCGCCAAGATTTGCACACCTTAGCAAAGGAAATAAATATTCAATTAATTGGCGTGGTCTTCTAAAAAATATATCCAGGGCCGGTATTTATTGTAAAGGTCTTTGCGTCGCCATCCATATAAAAATTATACCCAGGGCCGTCATTTATTGAAAGGTTGTTTTGTTTTTTTTCTTAGAAAAATATTATCTATTCATGTAAGAACAGCCTTAGATTTCTCCATACATTATTCTCATCTTTTCACGCATCTACTCGTCCATTTAGCAATCTCATGTTTTTACTCTTTCACTCATCCATACATTACTCTCATCTTTTTTTTCACTCATCCATACATTACTCTCATCTTTTCACTCATGCAAATGTTAATAAAATCTTTTCACTCATCCACTCATCCATACATTACTCTTATCGTTTCACTCATTCAATCATCAATGCACATATCCAAATAACCATACATTACTCCTAAAATTTTCACTCATTAAAATATTAATATCATCTTTTCACTCATCCACTCATCCATCGACCATTGACATTTGATCCATTCTCCTGTTTTTTCCATTCATTTATTCATCTGATATCAATATCAATAGTACTATGTGAGTTCTTCGACACCGTCACTCTCCCCCTCCTACTCCCCATGTTTTATATCAATACAACTGTGTAAACAAAAAGATTATCACGTAGCCAGCGCCTGTTAAATATGGTTGATTTGCCTTTTCTTTAGAGGGCGGGGCTAATATAATATGAATGCATAAAGAGCCTCGTTTATGGTGTAGGACTTTCAGTAGGACTATTGTTTAAATTTCGAGAAGTAGTGTGTAGGATTGTCTCTCAGCCAATTGTTTAAAGACCGGAAGTAAGGTGTAAGACTCTATATACGTCTAGTGTTTGACTATATGAAATAGTCATTCAAGTGGAAAATATACTAAAGACTCTGGCCGGAATTTTTTGCAACGCATATTCGTATTTTTTTTCATTTTTATAAAGGTGTGTAGAGGAAGAGGTAGTATTCCGGATGGGGAAAAACGTGTTCCTAGGAGCAGTTCATACGCCTTAGTCCTTTCAACGTTTACCTGTGCATCCCGCAGCTGCTAGCATGCAACAGCAGCCATACACTGAGCAACGGCTTCCACTAGCCGAGTAAACCAGGTGAGCATAGCTCATGGACCACAAACCGTCGCGTCGGCGATTTAGGACTGCCTACTGACTACATGCGCAGCCTTGACGTCGACGGATCCTGCAGAGGAGACTATTTAGGTTAAACGGAGGAGATGGTGATTACAGCAACGCACCATGGAGTGGGTAGAGCAAGATAGAGCACGTAGAATATCTTGTCACCCACTTCATTGGTACCCATCTCCGGTCATCTTGAATCAGTCTTGCCACTAGACACGGTGGGTCCAGATGAGAGAGTGAGGTTGACGCTGCGGTACTCTTCCTAACTTTTAAACAAAGTTATCCATGCAAGTCATCAGTCATCCAACACCAATCACCCCAAAGTCGTGTGACGACTGGAAGACACTCCTAAATGCATGAAGCAGGAGCTAGAATACGTGCTAAAAACACACCTTCCTCTCTAAAACCCTGGCTGGCTAAACAAGTTAGGTGGAGACCCAATTTTCGCGACCTATTTCACTTAAAAATGTCACATGGAACTTCCGCACACTGCTTAATATGGACGCTACAAACAGACCTCAATGAAGCTTGGCGATCGATTTTTGCCCCTGAACTTGCCAGATGCAAAATTGACATCGCTGCCCTCAGTGAAACCAGACTCTCTGGCAAAGGTGAACTCAAAAAAATAGGCTTGCTGGCTTTCTTTTTTTCTGGAGGGAACGCGACCCTTAGGCAAGGCTAAAAGCTGGAGTTGGCCTTGCTTTTTCAAAACCTCCCTTGTGAGCAAGCTTCCCAGCTCTACAAAATGTATCAATTAACGTCTCATGACGTTGAAACTTCCCCTCTGCCATGGAATAAAATCTGTCACTTTTGTCAGCGCCTATGCACCCACAGTGACAAACACAGAAGAGGCCAAAGATAAGTTTTATGAAAACCTGAACACTGTCATCTCCTCCACACCGACTGCTGATAAAGTCTTCATTCTTAGAGTATTAAAATGCACGTGTTAGCAGTGACTACGCCGCATGGGCGAAGTAATTGGGAAGTATTATTTGTAAAGGCATGCTGCTACTTCAGACCCGTGCTGAACAATGATTTCTAATAACAAATCAATCTTAAGCCTACTTGCTATCAAAATACATCCTGGATGCACCTCGTTTAAAACACTGGCCCCTAATAGATTACCTCACCGTCAGAATCGGGACTGGCAGGTCTTGAGAATGACTAAGGTCATGTGCAGCGCAGAATGCTAGACGGATCACCGCTTCATTGTATCAAAGATGAAAATTCACATCCAACCTAAGAGACAACCTCAGGTCACCAAAGCTCCAAAACGCCTCAACATTAGCAAGTTGAAAATGCCTGATGTGAGACAAACCTTTGTTGACAACCCGAATTAATGGCTTCCTTCCATCACACAGGACAATGAGGACGTTGGAGCAGCGCTGACGAAACTTCGTGACTCGGTGTAAAGCACAGCCACTGAGCGCCTTGCACGCTCTACCAAGAATCATAATTTGATGAAAACAACAAAGTGATCCAAATGCTACTTGAGCAAGAACGACGGCGTACAACAGCAAAGACAGCTGCATGGAGGAGCATCCAGATGCAACTGTGCGAGATGCGAAACTCCTAGCTGAGTGCGAAAGCTGGGGAAATTCAGGGGTTTGTTGACAAGAAAAACATGAGAAACTTCCACTGTGACCTAAGAGAAATTTATGGAGTTACCACCTCAGGCTCTTCCCGCCTTCTTAGTGCAGATGGTTCTACATTAATCACAGACAAGGACAAATCACTGGAAAGATAGGCAGACTACTTTCATCAATTGCTCAAAACGCCTTTCACCATGAATGATGAGGCCATTGTCATACTGCCCCAGGTCCCAACAAAAAAGTCACTGGACCCTGTCCCAAATTTGGTCGAAATACATAAAGCAATCCATTAAATGTCCATTGGCAAAATAGGGTGGAACAATGCTAATGAATAAGCTATTGCATCTTTTCCAGATCATCTGGTAGACGAAATTTTCCAAAAGACCTCAAAGATGCCTCAATATTCCACTTGTACAAACACAAAGGAAACCGCCAGGCCTAAAACATTATGAACTGCTTACATGCACATCTGGAGTTTGGTCCCCAAACCTGAAAGTCAAGATGGTTTCCGCAAAGCACGTGAAACTATCGACATGGAGTTGTTGCAAGGCAACTTTAATAGAAGTGTAAAGAGCATAACGTGGAACTATATTATTGACCTGAATAAGGCTTTTGACATGGTCAATAGAAGATGCCTGTGGAATATCACAAAAAAGTACGGATGCCCAGACAAGTTCACCAATATCATCTGTCAGCTGCATGATGGCATGATGAACAGAGTGCAAGACAACCAAAGTCAGTCATCTAAAGCATTCCCTGTGACAAACGGTATGAAACAGGTCTGTGTTCTGGCTCCCACACTCTTCAGTATGATGTATAATGCAATGCTGTCTGATCTGTTCAAGGACTCCACCAAAGACTTTTCAATCCGTTTTTGCACTGATGGATCAGTCTTCAACCTTAGGAGGCTTTAAGTTAAAACTAAAGCTCAAACACAACAACATCAACGAGCTTCTGTTTGCGGATAATTTTTCCCTCAACGCTGCCTCAGAAGCCGTCAGAGATCTCACGATAGAGAAGCGCTCCAAATGAGTTAAAAAAAAAAGTTTATAAAGGCCCACTGAAAGTGCAAAATAAATGCCTTTAGCATCAATACTACGACATAGTTACAGACAGCCAGGACAGATTCAGCTGGAGAGCAGCTGTCAAGAAAAGGGCTAAATATCATGAAGCCAGTAGGATAACCACAGTTAAGACACGTAGGCTCGTCAGAAAGAGCAATAGTAGATCACCGACTGCAGGAACTAACCCCTGCCAGCGGTGCCAGAGATTATTCCAAGTAATAATCGGTCAAGCAAGCTATCCACGAGCTCTCCATAAGCCATACTCCCCCTCTAACTGGATGACACGATAGTCCTAGTCGACTTTGACGGACAAAAAACATGACTGCTGTTTAAAAGTCGCCAGGTAGCGTGTAGGACTGTCAGTAGGACTAGTGTATGCATTTCGGCAGTTAGGGTGTATTGTTGACTGCAAGGCTATTGTTTAAAGACCGGAAAGTAAGATGCAAAGCTGTATATCTGACAAAATGTTTAAAGGCCGGCAGGTATCGTGTAGGATTGTCATTAGGACTAGTGTATACATTTCAGCAGTAAGGGTGTAGTGTTGACTGCAAGGCTATTGTTTACATACAGGAATGTAAGGTGTACGGCTTTATATCTGACTATTGTTTTAAGACCGGCAGGTAGTGTATATGACTCTCTGTGGGCGAATAGCTGTATAGAAGGATATGCACCTGCATATCTTCAAAAACTGATTCCTAAACATGTATCCTTACAGAACCTGCGCACTTAAAAAAAGAGTCATTTCTGAGGTTTTCCATTGTGAAAGGACACAGAAAGATATCAAACAGAGTGCGCTATTTTGAAGCTATTGCGACTGAATTATGGAACAGTTTGCCTTAATCCTTGAGAGAAATTGAAACATATTTTTTCCTTTAAAACGATTTTAGGACATCGGAGTACTGTGAGCATGTTAAAATCGCCTGGACACAAGCGCTAAAAAAGTGTTCTGGTTCTGGTAATGTTTTGTTGCTGCATCCATGTACTTACATCTTTGCAACTGTTGGGGGTATGATGTTGCTATTCTAACAGCTACTAAGCTACTAGCAGATGCCAGGTCAGCCTTGAAGCTTTCGACCGATGTTGAGTTCACAGTGGCATCGTCCATGTGGTTCAATGATAATATTGTGCGTGGGAAGAAAGCTAGTTGAAACTGCACTGCGTTGCACTGAGCCACTTTGAAGCATTTGCTATTGTTTCGGGTGTAATTGTTTAAGGGAATGTGAGTTGTGAAGTCAGTGTTTAGTGAGCGTTTTGCTCTGATCAGTCTACCCGGCTTCTGTGGGGTGAGGTACGTGCCTTCTGGGATGGCCGGCACCAGTCCCATGATCACTTTATATAAGAATATCAGGCGGAGTCCTTATCGTCTGTCTTTAAAAAGGGGGGGGGGATGTTTAAATCTTCGATCATCATCATCCCAATTCTGTATAAACCCGGCTTATCATATACTGTGTGATTAAACTTTAAAAAACAACAACAAACAAGACAATTATGACCCCAAAAAACCGCACCGAGCTAGGCCCTAAAATTGTATAAATATCATTACTGTGCCCATTGAAATCCTGTCCTCAAATGCCGAGTGGAGATAGATCTCCCGTAAAGCATTTGGAGGAAGGGCGCTCCACACAGGACGTGGGCGTAATTTATCCTTCCAGTTGTCCCGTTCGTAGGAATGGGTTCGCGGTGGTGTTGTTCCCTGGGCTGATTTTCTCCTTTTTGTAGTGGACATTGTTTGGATGCTTTGATGTGTGTGTTGGTAAACAAAGAAATTTGTTATTGCTTATAATATAGTTCACTGTTGTGATACAAGTTAAACGTGATGATGCGAAACAGTGCTTACAATTTTTTTTTTGTGTGCAAAATCCCGAAGTTGATGCGAATTTCGTAAAATGTGAAGGAAAAAATTCTTGCTACCTGGCGATAACAACGCAATTGATTGTCTTTAGAAAGCTTTTCTACGCATTGGGATTGATGTTTCATTTTTTTTTCTATATTAAATAATGAAATATATTTATTGTATAAAACAAACACACATAAACGTACGCACAGAGACACACATGTATATATACATATGCGATATAGATTGGATTCATTAAGCATCTGAATAAAAATTGTGTCCTCCACCCAAGTGATTGCTAGATTTTCGCCCGTTCTCCAACCTGCCCATTGTATCTAAGATTCGTAAGATAGTTGTGTTACAGCAGCCTGTGCAGTATCTAAAACCAAATGAATTGCTTGATAAGTTTCAATCTGCATATTGACCTGGACAAAGCTTTGAGACAGACCCACTCCATGTCATAAATGATGTTATTTGTGATGCTGACCTATTGGTCCTGTTGGAACTCGGTACTAGTTGTGATGTGATTAACCATGAGCGTCTTCTATCAAGACTTCTGAATGAGGCAGGCATCACTTGAACTGCACTTCGCTGGTGTTTATTCTTATCTGACTGACAGGACTCAGCGTATTGTAGTGAGGCAAGCATCTTCCGTGGACACTACCGTTACATGCGGTGTGCCACAGAGCTCAGTTTTAGGACCTATTCCATTCTCCGTGTACACTAGAAAGCTTTGCAAAATTATTGAAATTCATGGTATTTCCCGCTAAATATTTACGGATGCGCCACATCCTTGACACTAAATGGCAAGACAAAGTCCCCAACACGGATGTCCTGTCCCAAACAAACATGTGTAGCATCCCAGCCATGTTAATCCAAAGACGCCTCCGTTGGCATGGACACGTCAAGCGAATGCAACCTGGTCGCATACCAAAGGACGTGCTATACAGCGAGCTGGCGACAGGGAAAAGGTCAGTTGGACGGCCTCGTCTGAGATACTTTGACATATGCAAAAGAGACATGAAGTCCTCTAACATCGACATCTCAAACTGGGAGGAGTTGGCAGAGGATCGATCCTCATAGCGGGGCATCGTGAAGGCAGGATCACTACATGTCGAGGATCAAAACAGGGTGGAAACAGCTGCAAAAAGAGCGAGGAGGAAGGCCGGTAAATACTGCACCACCGCATTCGTGTCTGGGAAATGTAACAGAGACTGCCATTCGAGGATTGGTCTCACCAGCCACACCAAGAGCTGCAAGCAATAAAGATAATCTATCGTCTCCCACAGACGGAAAGATGCCATACATACATATTTACGGATGACACAGAACTGTACAATTGTTTCCGCCATGGTCCTTCGGATTGTGGTGCTGCGGTTCAGGCTGTTGATTATTGCTGTCTTGTTGTAAGAGAATGGATGTCATCAAACAGACTAAATTAAATAACGCAATTGAGGCAACTACTTGTGGTTCAGACGACAATCTTCGGAAAGTTGACGTCGCATCAATAAAGGTTGGTGAATCAGATATCCCATTGTCATCAACTGTCAGAGACATATGATTATATCTTGACAGTAAACGTAAAATAATTACCCGTAACAGTTCTGTGGTCAGGTCATGTTCTGTCATCTGTGCGCCCTGGGTCAGCTGCGTCGCATACTCAATAAGTAAGCAGTAACTGTAATCCAGTTAAGATAAGATTACGGTAAAAGTTGTTTGTGGGGTTTACCTCGGAACCAAATTCAAAGACTTCAGAATGTACAAAATACTGCAGCACTCATTGTATTGCGAATAAAGAAATCTGACCACATCACCCCAGTTCTACGAGATCTCTATTGGGTTCCTGTGAGTGTACGCATTAACTACAAAATTCTGTCTTTAACGTATAGCAGCATATTTTTTCTCTGCACCAGTATATCGTAAAGCACTGATTTTCTAAACATGTATCCTTAAAGAACCTGCAGTCTTCAACACAGTCCTTACTGAAAATTCCCAGTGTAAATGATCACAGAAAAAAAAGTCTTACAAAGGGGCCACTTTTGAGGCTATAGTGCCAACATTTTAGAACAGTTTGATTCAATCTTTAATGGACCGGACACACATGCTTATGTAGAGAGTATTCCAGGGCTATTTAAATATCCGATCGACGAATCAATTATATTGTATGTATATGGGGTTTTATGTGATATTAATGGGAGTCGATTTCTTCAAATGTCAAAACTTGTCAAAATTTCTAACTTGTCATTAAAATGTCTATTTATCAAGCTGGTAACTATATGCATATCCATATGGAGACACGGACTGAAATGTCCGTTTTAACCAATGACCATCGTCTGCCCGTTTCGGTTTGGATCCTCATGAACATGACACGTTAAGCCCCGTATGCTCACTGGGAAAGTCTATTCAGTCTTGGTTGGTTGTTTGGTTCAAAGACATTTTGTTTTTCCCCCACTTGATCTGTGTCCAGCTTGGCAAGCGACAGATTCGCGTTGTTTCGCAACTGACCACATGGGCTTAAAATGATAATAAAAAATGTTACAGCTCATCATAGGACAGAATCTTGATGAGATTAGTGGATGAGAGGTTGAACCATTTCACAGCGTTGAGCGTGTATAGCAAAGTTGATAACTCGCCAATCTATTTGCTTTGCCGCAGAAGGAGAGGACAGTAATACAACAATGGAATCCTAAGTTCAATAGAATGTAAATCAATCCCTTCTTATATGTATACACACGATATTATACAATGACATCTGAAACCTTTATTCGCCTTTGTTCCTGCTAGATATTACAATTAACTCTTAATTTGTCAAGTGTTTTTTTTTCTTACCGCTGTTTGTCCGCTTTTTTTTTCTCCGCTTTTTGTTTGTCCGCTGTTTGTTGATCCGCTGTTTCTTTGTCCGCTGTTTGTTTTTCCGCTGTTTGTTGTTTCTTTGTTTGTTTGTACGATGAAGGGTCGGTTCACACTATCAAATTTTCCTTTAAACATTTGATGCAATCTATGTGTGAATCCTTTTCACAACTTTGAAATCATGATTTGATAAAATTTTGATGGTATGCAAATTATATTAGTATTATTACGCAACCTCCATATCACGTGAACAAAAACTAAAAATAAAAATAAGTCCATTAATCTAGGTCGTGTTTACAATGATTACACTAAGTTATCAATACATCAAAGCTTCGTTGTTGGTTTGTGACTGTATTTTTCACACCTGTTTTCTCCATCCTTTGTTTCACTTATTTCCTTCTACCTAGCATACATGATGGCAGTCTCTAATCAAAGTTAACATTATTTTCCGTGACGTATATTATAAATAGAACTCCAGAAATGTATCACTTAGCATAGGAAAAAAAACGTCTTAAAATAATTCTCCATGCGTCCAACCTAAAACAATATTTATATATATATTTATATATATATATATATGTATATATTTACAGAGAAAGAGAGAAAGAGAGACTACGTCCACGAAGACGGCTACAAAGACCACAACAACCTCCAAACAGATTTGAAGGGCCTTATGAATGGGGCGGACAAATGGGGCATACAATTTAATAAAAAGAAATGCTACACAATAAGCATCTCAAGAAAAAAAAACCCATTAACCTATATGTACTCACCAAACGAGACAATTATCCAAAAGGTATCAAGTAATCACTACCTTTGAACTTTTCTTCTCAAAAAACCTTAAATGGTCACCCCCATAATCAAAATTTAAAAACAAAGCCAACTCCACCCTAGGTTTCATTCAAAGAAATATGCCCCACTCCCAAACTTCCTGCTAATGAAATTCCTATCTCACATTCGTCTGTCTGTTACTAGAATATGGTGCGATCCTCTGGGACCCACACCTTAAGCAAGATGTGGACAAGATGGAGCGAATTCAACGTAATGTGGTGCGTTTCATCGCACGAGACTACAAATCCATCTCTTCTGGCTTCGTCACTCGCCTCTTAAAAAGATTTGACATCCCCTCCCTTAAAGGCAGACTTGAGGGACTTCGCCTGATATTCTTATATAAAGTGTTAATGGGACTGGTGCCGGCCATACCAGCAGGCACGTACCTCACTCCACAGAAGCCGGGTCAATTGATCGAGCCAAACGCTCACTGAACTCTGACATCACCACAGACAAACCACCTATACAATTACACCCGAAACAATAGCAAATGCTTCACTGTGCCTCGGTGCAACACAGTATGAAAAATCTTTCTTCCAACGCACACTAATAGCTTGGAACCACCTGGACAATGCCACTGTGAATTCGACACCGGTAGGAGCTGTTAGACTAGCAATACCATTCCCCTAACCGTTGCACAGATGCCGGAATATGTATGCAGCAACGAAAACTACCAGAGAGACAGAGAAAGAGATGGAGAGAGAGAAAAGGAGAGAGAGAGAGAGAGAGAGGGTAAGGGGAAAAAAATAAGTTCATTCTGTTTAAAATAACTATTTGATTTTTAACGAATCTTTAAAGGTAAAATAAAAGTAAAGTTAGTTTCAAACTTTACATTCGATTTTTCAATTACATGGCACTTGGTGAAAAAAAAATGCGACAGGAAATGAATTCTGCATGGTGTCATCTTTCTTCGGATTAATTTCCACAACTATTGAAAGGTTGGAAAAAGAAAATTAAGGATGTTTGTAAGCATCTTCGTCTGTGAAGCTGGATTCTCTGTAATAACCAACATCAAGTCAAATAAACTAAACACTTTGATTAAAGATCAATAGAAAACCTAATGAGGCAGCAGTTAGTGAATACCAGTCACAAGATAAGAAGGTTGTACGTCCACTTTCCACACGTCAAAGCCATATATCGCATTACGGAAGATCTTAAGTTTTAAATTGGTGAGATGACACGCTTAATGGATCAATTACGATTCTTTAGAATTAATGTAACAACGTTTGACAAATTTAAAAATCTCAAAAACGTTCTAACAATATGTATTTAT